GGGCGCGCGGACGTCTGCAGCAGCGTCGGCCCACGCGAGGGGGCCCGCGTTGAGCGCGACCGGGGTGCTGGGCGGCGCCTCGCGGGCGCGGCCGTCGACTGGGCCTGGCCGGAGCGGCCGGCGGCGCGCGCGCTCGGGGGCCGGCGGGCGGCCGCGCCCGGCGCGGGCAGCGCGCGCCGCGCTGCGCGGGCGGGCCGACCCATGCCGCAGCGCCGATGCTCCTGTTAGGGGGCAGAACAGCCACCCCGAGAAGAACCACCCCGACACGCAAGGCCTTCAGTAAACGCGCCCAAAGAAGGAATCGAACAGGGCAGGGCTGTTTAGTAAACGCCCAGGTCCGTTTATAGTAGACGCCAACTATCCGGTCCGGGTGGCTCTTCCCCCCTGGGCTCGCAGCAGAATTCGAGCGCGACGGCGTCGCGCGCGGCCTCCCGGGGCAGGACCAGGGGGCCAAGTGGGGCAAGGGCTAGGAGCACTACCTGGTGGACCCTCGTCAAGCGCGCCGCATTCGACGCCGGCGCCTCGCCGCCGGCAGATGGGGGGCGCCCGCAGGTCAGGAATGCAGCAGGGTCCGAACCCGCCGCAGCGGCCGCGGAGGCGCGCACAGGGGCGGAGGACTAGGGGCAGGAAGTCCGCCTCTGATGCCGTCGGCGGAGCGGCGGCGAGCTGATGGTCCGCCGTGCAGGCGAGCGCCGGGACCGAAGTCAAAGGGTGGATGAGCCCGTCGATGACTGAGGCATCCGGGCAGGGGTGCTCGCAGCTGGGGCAATCGCCGAGCTGGCATCGCGGCGGGTGCCTTGGGATGGACCACAGGGCGCAACATTCTGAGGACGATGAAGCGAGGCCCGCGCCCGCCGCCCGCGGACCCCGTCGCGGCGGGCGCGGGGGCTGGGGGACGCGCGGCGGATGGAGGAAAGGAAACGAAAGTCGGCGCGGACCCGTGGCACGCGACCGAATCACACTGACCCTCGACGCACGGAGCCAAGCCAGGGGGGCAGCAGTTCATCTTTGCCCCGCGATCGACTGCGGCCTCGAACTCGCTGAGAGGGGCGGCCCCAAGGTCGCCGCAGTGCCTGAGATAGCGGGAGAGCTCGTGCTTGGGAGGCTCCGCGCCCGAAGGGTTGCGCCCGCGGCCAGCAGCAGCAGCGGTGGCATATCCCCCAGTGACAGCAGCATCTGCAAAGGGCTTTCACGCGCTGAAGCGGTCGCTGCTAAAGCAATGTACCAGCTGGCAAGACGGGCCAGGGCAGCGGGGCGCGGAGCCCGCAGAGCAGACACACGCGAGTCAGCACGGGCCCATTGCGCCCGCCCTCTGTCATGGTGGCGCGCGAGAGGATGGGGGGTACAGACTCGAGCCACAGCTGCGGAAAAGTGCGCGGAGCAAAACAGCAGCGGCCGATCGATATTGGGAGCCAGGTCCAGCTGGACGTTGGGCTGGCTCGACCCTGCGCCGCGCCGGGCCACGATTGGCCGCGACCCGGCCCCGCCACCGCCGCGCCCCCGGGGCAGGAGGGGGGGCGCGCCCGGCGCCTGCAGCAAGGGATCGACACGCGCGCGCACACACAGACACACAGATAGACACACGGACACACGGACACACACATGTGCGTGTGTGCATATATGTATGCATGTGTGTATGTATGTATATATATATATGTATGTGTACACACAAATACGTTTCGAGGCAGCGGGCAGCGGTCGCTGGGGCGGCGAGGCAGCAGGCGGGCGGGCGCCGCGGGCGGCGGAGGCGGGGCGAGGCAGCAGCGAGGCGACGCGGGCGAAAGGACCCGGCGCGCGGGGGCGCAGCGCGGGGCCGCGCCAACGTCAGGGGGGGCGGGGGGGGCCTCGGCGGGAAACTGGAGAAGAAGCCAGCGGCCCCAGGGAGGGGCAGGCCAGGCGGAGCGGGGCGAGAGGGGGGGAAGCCCAGAGGGGCGGCCCGACTGGCAGGCCAGGAGCGGCGGCCAAAGGGCCGCCGCCGAAAGCGCAGCGGGCCGCGAAGAAAGAATGCCAGCAAGCACAGGGAGGCGCGGGCGCCGAGAGCGCGGGCACCGCCCGAGGAGAGCACGGGGCCGCGGGGGCCAAGGCAAACCCCTATGAGGAGCCACCCGAGGCGGCGATCGACGCCGAGAAGCACCCAGCAGATCGAGCGCGGCGGGCACGCAAAGGAAGACCCATCAGCCACAACAAGGGGCGAGGACCGCCAGGGGCGGGGGAGGTGTGCAAGCGACAGCCAAGCAGCACGCCGCCCAGGCGCCCAGCAGGTCCAGGACAGAGCTGGAGAAGTGCAAGGCCGGAACCGCCAGAGAGGCAAGCGACGCGGGGTCGACGCCGATGAACCCCCAGCGGATCGCCTGTCCTAATTCTTGCTTCTCAGCCAAAACATACGTGATTCAATCTAGGTGGCGCAATGTAGGTGGCGCAATCCACGCCGAGCAATCGACGCGGCGCAAGTAATTCTGAAAGGTGGGAGTTGCCAACTCCACTGCTCGCGCAATCATCCCACCCGCCCACTCGCAACTTGACTTGAGGGGCCCATGCGGCGGCGATTGTACTGCCTGCGCGGCGCTGGCTGGCGCATCGCTGCGGCCGCGACGGCGCGCGCGGTGTCGCGCGGAGAAGGGCCAGCTATTCTGGCGCGACCGACGCGCCCGCGGTGGCGCTAACCGCCAAGGTCTTCTCACCGCGCCTCGTAGGCCGCGCCGACGCGCGGGCGCATCAGCGCGAGTCGGTAGCTCGGGCGGGCGCCGCATCGCGGCGGCGTCGAAGCCCGCAGAGGCGACGATGATCGTGGCGATGCTGGTGGCGATGATGACAATGACAGGAAGGGCAATGACGGCGCCGATGCTGACGACGCCGATGACGACGATGGCATCCTCGAGTCGGCGATGAAGGTTGCGATAAGGATTTCGACATGCGCGCCCGGAAGAGTTCGCAAGTGCGCGCGCGAATTCTTTAAACATGTTTTAAGACAACACACATGCCAAAGCAAAGGATTCTGGCACGCGCGCGACGACGCGCGCACGCCCTCGCCCCTGTTTGCCCCGTGACTTTCGGGAACTAGAAATTCTTAATAAACGAACGCGCGCGCATGGCATCGTTCGACGGGGAGGATCGGAGGGGTTCGATGACCGAGCGCATATCTAGGACGGGCGAGCGCGCAGAATCACGCGGAAAAAAACAATGCGAAACGGTCGCCCGTAAACCCGGGGGGGGGGGGCGGTGGGTCCTAAATCTCTCTAGAAATGAGAATCTACACGGCGCAATCTACGCGGCGCAATTTGAAAGAAAAAATGAGTTGCCAACTTTACTGCTCGCACAATCACCCCACGCACCCACCCGCTTCTTGGTTTGCTCAACACCTGCGGCGGCAATTGCGATGAGCGCTCGGCTCTGGCCAGCACATTTCCGCGGCCGCGCTAGCCCGCGCGTGCCCGCGAACACGCAGCGGCCAGCCAGTTTGGCGCGACCGACGCGGCCGCGGTGGCGCTGAACGCAGGGCGCTTCCCAGCGGGCACTCCAGCGCGAGTCGGCAACGCGGGGGGGCGCAGCATCATACCGACGGTAAACACGATGATGATAGTAGCGACGATCGGGACGATGATCACGATGACGGCGCCGATGCGGACCGCGTCGCCGACGATGACGGCGCCCTCGCGTCGGCGATGAAGGTTTCGGGGGGTTCGACACGCGCGCGCGGCCGACGCGCGCGAGCGGCCCGCGTTGTGCTATTTGGCAGGGATCGTGCCCTCCTAGCTAGCACGCGCGCATGGGGCGCCCGACAAACGTTGACATGGGCGCGCAAGAAGCCCGCTTGGTCGCGCGCGGTGAAAATCCAGGGAAATGCTTGGCTTGCTGACAGATTCGCAAGAACGCGAGCGCAAGCTTTTTTGAAAGTTCTCGTTCCGACACAAGTGCTTTGCACATGACTTCGGGGTGCTGGATGTTGGAGCCCGCGCGATGAACGTTGTGCATCATATGATTACCGCAAGAGTTCGCACAAGCGCGCACGAACCTTCTTTGAAGCAGGATGTCGAATAACCACATGTTCTTACATGCGTTCAGGACACTCGATATTGAATTCCACGCGGACAACATAGGTTTTGAAATGTTCCGGCACGCGCGCAAAGACGCGCGCGCGCACTTCGCCCCGTTGTCTTGTACGAGGGAATATTGGGACCGCGCGCGCAAAGGCATTCGAATGATCCCGGCATGCGTACGCGAGGGGCACGTTTGGTCGAACTCGTTCGGTCCTACTTTTTGCGTTTATTTATATATATATATATACATACATACAGATATATATATATATATATACATAAATAAAAAACTTCCAGTGTCTTGAAAAATCGCAGAAACGAGATCGCATGTTATATTAGGTTGAAAACTCGCGTTGGTCTCATTGGTTATATCTTGTTGGGGCACTCGAACTTTTGAATTCATACGAAAACTAAATCTGCTTGACAGATTTCGGCATGCGAGCGCGCGACGACGCGCGCGCGTGCACTTCGCGCCTTTTACGACAAGGGATATATATATATATATATATATATATATATATATAAGCTGTCAATTATCCCACCAGCCCTCTGGGCGTCGGTGGTTTAACGAGTTTCCTCTTCCACCCCTCCCTCTTCCCCTTCGGGGAGGGGTTTACCCCTCCCCCTACCCCCTCCCCACTGATTCCGCGGAGCGTTGGAGCGCCCAAGATCGACCCCTGGGAGGGCTAAAATTCGACACCCCTCACGAGAATCGTGGCTCCTGAAGGGGGGGGCTGTTATTAGGGACCCCCCCTTCGTTGATCGATCTCCTCCAAGATGGCTCCGAGGCCCCCCAAGAGGCCCCCAGGAGGCCCCCAAGAGACCCCCCACAGGCCCCAAGAGACCCCCCAGAGGCACCCAAGAAGCGCCCAGGAGGCCCCAAGAAGCGCCCAGGAGGCCCCCAAAGGCCCCAAGATGGCCCCAAGAGGCCCCCAGGAGGCCCCAAAGAGGATCCCGAACGGCCCACAGAGGCCCCCCCGAGGCACCCAAGACGCCGAAAAGCCCCTCAGGACGACCCTCTACTCGCCTGGGCGTCGTTTCTGGACGGGCTGGTGGGGATACGCGAAGCGTCTAGAATTGATAAACGAATGCGCGCGCAAAATATTTGTTGCAGAGGGCGATGGGGGGAGGGTAGATAAGGGGCTGCCTGCGCGGGCGCGAACTCATACATAGGATGGTCGATGGGGCAGAATCACATGTAAACTGCGGCACAAAAAGGCGGGCCGTGAAGTCCAGTGGGGGGGGATCCGAACGCCTTCTGAAAGACAACGTCAACTCCACCAATCGCGCAACCATCCCGCGCGCCCACCCGCAAGTTGGTTAGCTAAACCCACGACGCGGCGATTGCGATAACTGCTCGGCGCTGGCCGGCACATCGCCGCGGCCGCGTTCGCACGCGGGCTCGCGCACGCAGCGGGCCGCTAGTCTGACCCGGCCGACGCGCCCGCGGTGGCGCTGGCCTCTGAGGACTCCCCGGCGCGTCTCGCAGGCCGGGCTGACGCGCGAGCGCGTCAGTGCGAGTCGGTGACCCTGGCGGGCGCGGGATCATGGCGACGTCGACGCTGGCAGACACGAAGATGAGAGTAGCGGTGCTGGTGACGACGGTGTCACTGACGACGGCGCGGGCAATGGCGGCGCCGATGCTGACCGCGCCGACGACGACGATGGCGCCCTCGCATCGGCGATGAAAGTTGCAACGAGGATTTCGCGGCGCGCGCGCGGCCGACGCGCGCGAGTTGCCCGCGTCGTTTTATTTGAGAGGGGTCGTGCCCCTCCAGCGCGCGCGCAAGGGCGTTCGAATGATTTCGACACGCGCGCGCGAAAGGCCCGCTTGGTCGCGCGCGATGAACAAGTTGGAACACGCACGGTTCACTCAAGACTTCGCAAGAGCGCGAGCGCAGGTTGTTTTGAACATTTTTGTTCCGACGCACTTGTTCATGTGTTCGGGGCGCTCGACGTTGAAATCGCCGCGAAACCTCCAGACTGCGAAAGATTCCGGCACGCGCGCGCGACGACGCGCGCGCGTGCACTACGCCTCAATTGTTGCAAAGGGTTCTTGCGACTGCACGCGCGCGAGGACGTTCAAATGATTTCGAAATGCGCGCGCGAGGGGCACTTTTGGTCTCATTTAATGGAATTATAGCCGATGGCTGTCTTGCTTGAAGACCCCCGTTGCGAAGCCATAATATTTGCACGCGTTTCCGGGGCGCGCGAAATTTAACGCCCTTGCGAAACCTGGAGTTCTCGAAGGATTTCGGCACGCGCGCGCGACAATGCGAGCTAGCGCACTTCGTCCAATGCGTTGCACAGGAAACTGGGGAACTAATCCCGCCGGATAACCCATGATCCTCACCCTTCTGATTCTCGCTCTCATGATCCCCACTCTCCTCCTCACCCTCCTGATTGTCATCCTCGTGATCCCACTCAGCTGATCCTCACTCTCCTGCTCCACACTCGCCCGATCCTCACCCTCCTGACCTTCATGTTCCTCCTCCTCACTCTCCTGATCCTCACCCTCCACATCCTCACCCTCCTGTTCCACGCTCGCCTGAGCCTCACCCGCGTGAACCTCAATCTCCTGCTCATCACCCTCGTGAGCATCACATTCCTGATCCTCACCCTCCTGATCCTCACCCGCCGCACCACCGCCGCCCGCTCATTCTCACCATCCCCGTTGAGCACAGGCGCACTCCCCTTCTTCTATATACAGACCCTCCCGATCAACCGCAGGGCGGCTGGCTAGTACAATATCTGTAAATATATACTTACACAGACACAGAGAGGGAAAGAAAGAGAGAGAGAGAGAGAGAGAGAGAGTCAGAGACGGAGACGGAGACGGAGACGGAGGCAGAGAAAAAAACAGCATTGCACTCCTCCTCCTCCTCCTCCTCCTCCTCCTCCTTCTCCTCCTCCTCCTTCTCCTTCTCGCCCTCCTTCTCCTCATCCTTCTCGTCCTCCTCCTCCCTCCTCGATCCCTCCTCGATCCCTCCTCTCCCCGGCGGTACGGCGGCGCTCGTCGCCCGCGTCGAACACGAAGACCCGCAGCGGCGCGAAGAGGATGCCGGCGCCGCGGCCCATGGGCGCTGCCCCGCCTCCTCCGGGGGCCGCGCGCGTCGGTGAGGTGGCAGCGGGGGGGGAGGGGGCAGGACCGGGAGGAACGAGGCCGAGGAGCAGAAGAGGAGAGGGCCGAGGGGGGGAGCAGAGGGGGGAGGAGAGGAGCAGAGGCGCAAGAGGAGGAGGCAGGCTGGAGGCAGGAGGGGCAGCAGGGGCGACAGCAAGGCACCGACCCGGCTGCTCCCCGGACCTCTCCCCAGGCTCACTCTGACCAGAACCTCGGGGCGAATCCGGCCGTGGCGACGAGGGCTACCCGGGCCGAGCCGCCGCATCGGTGGCTCTTCCTCCTCCGGGCAGGCCGGGAGGAGCAGAGGAGAGAGGACCAGCAGCACGGGGTAGCACGCACGAGCAGCGGCCCCGCCCAGCGCCTGGCAGGCCGACGGCCGCACGACCGAGCAGCGTGGGCAGCGCGAAGGCGGGCGCCAGCGCCGCGGCCGCGGCGCCGCCGCCGAGCCTGCGGCTGGCAGGCCGCAGGCGGCAGGCGGCAGGCGGCCGCGGCGCGGCCGTGCGACGGGCGGCGCTGGAGCGACGACCACGGCGGCGGCGACGCCGAGCTGGGAGGTGGGATGGGGCGGGAGGGAGGGGCGGGGAGGAGGAGGGCGGGGAGGAGGAGGGCGAGGAGAGGAGAAGAAGGGGAGGAGAAGAAGGGGAAAGGCGGAGGGGAAGCGAAGGGAGAGGGGGTGAGGAAGGGGCAGGGACAGGGAGGAAGGGAGGAGAGGGAGTGAGGGAGGAGAGAGGGAATGAAAGATAAGGAGGGGAGGGGAGGGGAGGAGAGGGAGAGAGGGAATGACGACGACAGCTCACTACGAGCGTGCTGTTTTCCTGCTTCCTCAGTTCCATGGGCACCAGGATCCATGAGCTGGCCTCCTCTTCCTCCTGCTCCTCCTCCTCTCGTCCTCCTCCTCCTCCTCCTCCTCCTCCTCCTCCTCATCATCATCAGCAGCAGCAGCAGCAGCGACAACAGCAGCATGATCATGATCATGATCATGATCATGATCATCATCATCATCATCATCATCATCATCATCATCATCATCATCATCATCATCATCATCATCATCATCATCATCATCATCATCATCATCATCATCATCATCATCAGCATCAGCATCAGATCAGCATCAGCAGCATCATCATCATCATCATCATCATCATCATCATCACCACCACCACCACCCACCATCATCATCATCATCATCATCATCATCATCATCATCATCATCAGCATCATCATCATCATCATCATCAGCAGCATCATCATCATCATCGTAATCATCATCATCGTCATCATCAGCATCATCAGCATCATCATCAGCATCATCATCATCCTCATCCTCATCCTCATCCTCATCATCATCATCATCATCATCATCCTCATCATCATCATCATCATCATCATCATCGTCCTCATCAGCATCATCAGCATCATCAGCATCATCAGCAGCATCGTCACCTGCATCATCATCAGCAGCAGCATCATCATCAGCCGCATCCTCATCATCATCATCATCATCATCATCATCATCATCATCATCATCATCATCAGCATCAGCAACAGCATTAGCATCATCATCAGCATCAGCATCATCATCATCGTCGTCATCACCATCGTCATTGTCATCATCATCATCACCATCATTATCTTCGACCGTTCACCTCCTCATCCTCCTCCTACTTCTGCTCCTCCTTCAAAGAGGCTCGGAAATCGATCGAGGCAGTCCACACCACAATCGAGCACCGTAAGCATCTTCTTGAGCGGCGCGTGGTGAACGAAGCAGGGGTGGTAGGGGAGCTCGTGCAGTTCGAGAGGACAGCAAATAGGGGAACAAAAAGTGGCATGAACATAAAAACTCGGAGGTCCGCGCGGATTTCTCGGATCGGCGCTGGGGCCCCCCGGCGGCGATTCCGGCGTCGCCCCTGGCGCGCTCCGCGCGCCAGGGAGGGGGGTCCAGCGCCGCTCCGAGAAATCCGCGCGGACCTCCGAGTTGTTATGTTTTTGACATTTTTGTTCCCCTAGCAAAGCAAGCGGGTCCCATGCGGCAGACAACGAAGCACAAGGGTGCCGTGCTCGGCATGCGCTCTGCGATGACGGCTCTGGGAGGGGAAGGTCCTTGCGTGGTGGGAGATCTTGCGTGGTGGGCCCGCGGCCGTCCCAGGCAACGCGCAACGTGGCCCGCTCTGGAAAACAAATCTCTTGGAGGGCAAATTCTCTTGGAGGGCAAATTCCTCCTGGAGGGCAAAGTCTTAGTTGGAGGGCAAAACAATATCTCGGAGGGCAACTTCTCTCTTGGAGGGCAAATTCTCTTGGAGGGCAGATTCTCTTGGAGGGCAAATTCTTACTTGGAAAACAATATCAGCTCTCGGAGGGCCAATTCTTACTTTCGCTGGCTTCCGCCAGACCTCCGCCAGCGGAGCCGCCCTCGACTTACTCTTGCTGGCCTCCGCCACCCTTTCGCCGCCTTCCGCCGAGGAAGCGATGCCAATTCCTCTGGCTCCTCGAAGGCGAGGCCCTCTCTGCAGCGCCTCTCGTGGAGCCAGGCGCTCCCGCCTGCCACCCCGCCCTACCCCCCCGGAGAGCCCAGCGCGGCCCTGAATGGCCCGCTCCAGCACGGGCAGCTGCCTGTCGCACCAGGGGCAGCCCTCGCGGGAGAAGACCGTGACCACCTGCCGGTCCTCCTCCTCCTTCTCCTCCTCCTCCTCCTCCTCCTCCTCCTCCTCCTCCTCCTCCTCCTCCGCCTCCTCCTCCTCCTCCTCCTCCTGCTCCTCCCCCTCCTCCTGCTCCTCCTCCTCCTCCTCCTCCTCCTGCTCCTCCTCCTCCTCCTCCTCCTCCTCCTGCTCCTCTTCCTCCTCCTTCTCCTTCTCCTCCTCCTACTCCTTCCCTCCTCCTCCTCCTCCTCCTTTTCCTCCTCGTCCTCCTCCTCCTACTCCTCCTCCCCCTCCTCCATTCTCCTTTCTCCTTCTGGTCGATGGTCGAGGGTCCCCCTCCTCCCTTCTCCTCGAGTCTCCCTCCCCCTCCTCCTCCTCCTCCTCCTCCTCCTCCTCCTCCTCCTCCTCCTCCTCCTCCTCCTCCTCCTCCGCCCAGACGACGAGGGCTACAAGGAAGGACGACCTCGACGACGAGGACGCAAGCGACGAAGATGATGACGACGACGACGACGACGATGACGAGGAAGGACGACGACGACGACGACGACGACGACGACGACGACGACGACGACGACGACGACGACGACGACGACGACGACGACGACGACTGCGACGACGGCGACGACGGCGACGACGGGACGATGACGACGACAACGACGACGACGACGAGGCCCCGCCCCTGCGGAGATCCCCAGACGGGGAGGAGGGGGGAGGAGGGGAGGGAGGGGAGAGGATGGGCACAGAGGGGAGGGGACGGGAGGGGAGGGGAGAGGGGGAGGCAAGGTAGGTGAGCTCGCATCATATCTGACGTCCTACCCCTCCCTCCCATCCCTTACCATGGCGTAGATCTTCTCTCTATTCGCACAGTCGGATGTCGAGCAGGGCAAAGATCCCGAGAGGGTGCGCGATGCATCGTAGATCACGGCATACTAGGTCGTAGAAGAGAACGGAAGAGTGTAATATGTCGTCAAAGCATGGCATGGCGTTACGTAGCGAATTCGCCGGCCCAACGGGCCAGAGGCGTGCTAAGATCTCCGGTAACTGGTTAACAATTCTTCTAGTTCGCGCGCGCGGGGCGGCCCCTGGGGGTCCCCCGGCGAAAAGTACCCCGACCGCAGCCCGGGAAATCCCGGGGAGGTCCCGGGAAGGTCCCGGCAAGGTCCCAGGAAGGTCTACTCAGAGATGGTTTTGAGGGCCTTTTTTTCGACACCCCTCACGAGGATTGTGGCCTCCGAGGGGGGTGCACTCGCCTACCCCGCCCCAAGAGGCCACCAAGAGCCCCCCAAGAGGCTCAAGGGGGCCCCAAGACGCTGCCAAGGAGCCCCAAGAGACCCCCAAGAGGCCCCTAGGAGGCCCCTAGGAGGCCCCAAAGAGGCCCTCAAGAGGCTTCAAAGAGGCCCCATAGAGCGCTCGAGGGCCGGCGGAATGAGCGACGCAAAACATTGCAACGCAAATAATGGCATCGAACAGCGGCACAGAACAGGACATGGTATAGCATGGCGCTGAAGATCAAAGCGTAGTATGGCATAGCATGGCGTGGCACTGCGTAGTCAAGCACTGCCTATCCTAGCATTGCAGCTGAAGGCATGGCATCGCACAGCGGAACACCACATAGCATTGCATTGCATGCCGTGGCATGGCACTGGAAATAATGACGCCAACGCTGCAACGGGAGCACGATTCGGAACGAGCGGAAGCGCGGAAATGAGGCCAGCGCCGCAGCGGGAGCACGATTCGGAACGAGCGGAAGCGCGAAAATGAGGCCAGCGCCGCAGCGGGAGCACGATTTGGAACGAGCGGAAGCCCGAAAATGAGGCCAGCGCTTTTGCGGGAACAACATTTTGAAGACAAGCCCAGGCGAAAACCCAACTCCCCGGAATACGGGATGAGAAACAAAACGCGGAAGGGGGGGGCCGAATATCTTCCGGACGTCATCAGGGGAGAGAGGAGAATAGTACGGTGGGGGCATTCGTTAAGGAACGTGCCCAGGAGGCTTCAGACAATGGAGGGTTCCTTACCCGATGAGGGCGGCGGTGATGTCCATGGCCACTCCACGATCGAAATTCCACTGGCTTTCAGACCCTGGATTCTTTATCGAAGGTTTCCTTCTCCAAGGCCATCACCGTATTCATGTTGCGAAACTGTGGAGGAAAGCAAAACCCCAATCCCTCGGAATACTGCGTAAAAGACAAAACGCGGAAGGGGGGTCGTGAGCCGTCGGAATGCCGAAAGGAAGCACATGCCAAAATCCTTCGAAATCAAGAATGTGGCCCTCGGAAGGGTCTTGTGTCCTCTCGCGTGTCCTCTCCAATCAAGTCCGACTGCATTCATGCCGTGCAGTTGCGGAGGGGAGGGGCCTGCTCCTGGCCGCGCTTGATCGTGTCCGTCATCTCGCCCACGAGGCGCTGCTGCCAGCCCGCGGCGGCATCGCCCGAGGGCGCGGCCGGGTCCGAGACCAGGGCGAGCCGCCCGTCCTCACAGGAAGGGGCGGAGGGGGGGGGTGAGGGGGAGGGGGAGGGGGAGGGGGAGAAGGAGGAGGAGGAGGAATGCGAGGAGGGGGAAGAAAAGGGGAAAGGCCAAGCTAGTCGGTTCGAGCGATTCGGGAGGAGGTGGCGGAGGAGGAGGAGGAGAGGGAGGAGGAGGAGGAGGAGCGAACGAACGAACGACCACCCGGTGCGGACAGCAGCCCGAGCCTGCTGGAGACCAGGTGAACGAGGCCGTGGCCTCTGAAATACTACTGTGTACGGAAGGTTCGCGTCGTGTCGACCCCGGCGTTGGTTTCTGACACCGCGCTGGATCGTTCAACCTTGAACGATCGGCCGCTGCCGCAACGTCCGATCGTTCAACATCGATCGATTCTGGGCCACTGGCGGCGTTCAACCTTGAACGCCCGCGCTGGGGTCGCCGCCGGTCGACACGACGCGAACCTACCGTATGGAAGTGCGTGCATGCGAGACAGAAAAAGTTGATTGAAACGGAGGGAGAGGGGAGGAGGGGGAGGAATCCTTGCAGTCGATGTCGCGGTGCGTTGGTGCCGCGTCGTTGGGTGGAGTCTGTGCTGGTCGTCTGTGCTGGTTTGGTGCTGATGCTGGCGCAAGACGACGGTAATTAGTCGGTGTGGCGGTGCTTGACTGTTGGTGGTCGGTGCGTGTGGTCGCGTGGTCGGCCGTCAGGAATGCGGGCAGGAGGAGGAGGAGGAGGAATGCGAGGAGGCGGAAGAAAAGGGGAAAGGCAAAGTTAGTCAGTTCGAGCGAGTCGGCGGGTCCTGCATAATCCCCTCCTCCCTCCCATCAGACTTGAATAACTTGTGTCACACATTGGTATTGGGTTGGAACGCGTTCCCACCTAACGGAAGGCGCTCCCGCGCGGTGCCCCTTTCGACGACGTGGCGACGTGAAACCTACGCGAGCCGCGCAGGGGGCCAGAGCGGCAAAGCTTCCGATGAGCACGGCCAAGACGAAGCATGCGCCGCGCCGAAACAGCACTACCACTTTTTTTGGACTTTCTTTGTACAATACCCAACAACAAATGTTGTCCCAAACCAACAGCGGCCGCTGTTGGGCAGGCGGCCTTCTGTCTCGCATGGACACAGGCCGCGGCGGCGTGGACAGCGAATCCTGGTCGAGATGAACAGGAACTGCTGTTGGGCATTGTACCCATTCTTTCCGTACTCATTTCGGGCGTCCAAACTTTCGCTCACGAGCGGCGCGGCACCCGTGCGAGGGCAGCACTTCGCCCGCTCCCACGCGACCCCGCAGCCGCCGCCACCCGAATGCGCTTTTCGGCGAGGTGAGCCGTGCACCACGCCCGCGCGGGGAGCGCCTCCTCCAAGCAACAAAAAATGCACCGGGTGAGGGCGAGGGCGAGTAAAAAAACAAAAAAAAACAACCAAACAAAAAAAACAGGAAAAACAAAAAAAAAAAAAAAAAAAAAAAAAAAAAAAACGGCGAGTAAAAAAATGGCGAGGGGGCAAAAACTTGGCGAGTAAACAAAACTTGGCGAGTAAAAAAAACTTGGCGAGTAAAACTCGCGAGGGGCCCGAAAGCTTGGCGAGTAATAAAAAATGCGCTGCGCTGCGGCGGCACCGCCACGCTCCATCGAGATCTGCGCGGCGCCGAGGCGAGAGCGACGTCTTCGTCCGCTCGCGCGTCGACAAATTGGCGCGCGAATGATGGGCACCGCGCCAAGGAGGGAGCTCAACTCTTCGGAAAATGAGAGCGGCGCCGAGGCGAGGGCGACATTTTGCCCTTTGGCGCCAGATGCGTGCCCCGCCCTCTTCCTGTCGCACAGTTTGCGACGTGGACCACATAACGTGCATGCTGAGAGCCAAAACGTCGACGTTGCACATGGCTTTTGAAGTAGGATGGAAGCACCTGGATCGGGTCGCTATCGGCCAACTAAGCGACAGAGTAGGAGTGTATACTCATGAGGAAGAAGGATTGGGGAGGGGGAGGAGCAGGAGGAGGAAGAGGAGGATAAGGAGGATTAGCAGCAGCAACAACAACAAGAGAAGGAGGCGGAGACTGAGGGGTCTTCGAAGTCTCAACCATACCGTAGGTTTTCAACATGCTCATGGAATGTTGCCATGAACGGGGCGTGAGTTGTCGGACCCTGGAAACGCTCCCGTCAAAGCGGGGAACCCCATCCGACACCTCGCACCGTTAGTCTGGACAGATTTCCGGCCCCGAGAATAGAAGATTGGTCTGGACGGCGCGTAAGTTCGAGGGCCAGCAAAAAAGCTCGTGATCTCTGGGCCCCTGGAAGCTCACGGGCAATGGAAGCCTCCAGGGGCCTCCGGCGGCAGGCCACGCGCATCACAGGGACGGAGGGAACAAAGCTCAGCTCAGAAGTTTTGCTGCCTCGGGGCCCTGGGACCGTCAAACAGATCCAAGGATGAAAACGGGCCTGAACTGACCCAGAGCGCTGGGGGCCGGTTTGAGCGCGTGCTCGGTCGGAGGAGGAGGAGGACGAGGAGGAGGAGGAGGAGGAGGAGGAGGAGGAGGAGGAGAAGGGGATCAGGATCAACTACCCAGATTCTTGCTCGTTTGGCGTTCTTTCTGTGCCCCTGAGGTCCTCCAGAGACAAGAAGGGTGCAAGTCTAGAATGCAAGAACCCAGGGAGTCCAGATTGCAACGGGTTTGGGGAGCTGGCCAACGAGATTGGCATAGGATGGGCCAGAGAGAAGAAAACCTCATCCGCACTTTAGGCGGCGACTGCCCTGTTGAAGAATGCAAGCTTGCTCCTTCCATGGGCGGTGTTTCCTTGTTTCTCTCTCTCTCTCTCTTTCTCTATTTCTCTCTCTCTCTCTCTCTCTCTTTTTCTCGTTCTCTCTCTCCCCCTGTCTCTCTCTCTCTCTCTCTCTGCCAGTTCCACCTCCCTGCGGCAGTCACTGCATGGCCTTGCTTGCATCCTGAAGGAAACCTCCACACCAGACGAACCAGACACAAGGGGCTCGTGCTCCATGTTCGCGCAAAGACAAGAGCACCAGAAGAAACGAAGAAACACCCCAAAAAGCCGCGGACAAAGCACGGCTGGGGCTCTCCACCGGACCTCTTCCGCAAGCCGCATCGCCGCGTGGCAGCCCAAGGATAGGAGGACGCCAACTATACACCTACACTAGTGCCCAGCACGCCAGCTCACCCTGGGCCCTCGATTGGTGGATACGCCCTCCGGGCTTGGGCAGGAAGGCTGGCAAACCGATCCTGGGCCAAGGTCGGCCTGCCCAGGCTCGGTACAGGTGTATACGGCCAAGAACTTTTGCTTAGCGTGCCGCGGCGGCGGCCCGGGCGACACGCTATGCTCTGCGAGTGGATGGCGTGTCGCCTCACTCCGCGGGGCGGGAGGCCAGCACATGCTCCGGACATTGACGCTCGCGGACCGCGAAGTGGACAGCGTGTCCTCCTCCTCCTCCTCCTCCTCCTCCTCCTCCTCCTCCTCCTCCTCCTCCTCCTCCTCCTCCTCTTCCTCCTCCTCCTCCTCCTCCGCGGCGAGGCGTGGTGGGCCGGAACCGGCGGAACGACACGCCATCCAAAAGTTCTCGAGCGTAGCCGGTGGCCTCCAAGCAGCGCCCGCCGTGCTGCGCCCGCCGCGCGGTCGGCCGCCGCGCTGCGCGCCCACGGCGCCCTGCTGCCCGGGGGGGAGAGCCGCCGGGTCCTCCGTCAGCACCAGCTCCCCACTGTGCGGGGTGCCCACCACGGTGGGTGCATTCGGGACCTGGGGGGAGGAGAGTCTGAGGGAGGAGGGTCGGAGGGATGATGGGAGGGGGCAGAATCAGGAGGCAACTACTGGGAGGTCTTCGTCGGAAGGATTGAGGAGGATCCAGCCCCATTGGGGGGCTGCTAGGCCAAATCAGGCCGCGGAGCAAGCGGGATTTAAACGGATTAAGCGGGATGAAGCCGGCATAAGCGGGATTCAGCCAGATTGTTCCGGATTAAGCCGGACTTCGGGCCAGGGCAAAGTCAGAATTCGACCTCCTAGGAGCTGCATCCGAAAAAAGGGAGGAGGGGAGGGGAAAAAGGGAGCCAGAACGGGACACGGCAAGGGATACGGAATGGGTCACGGAGGGGCAAGTGGAAAAAGGAACGGAGATGGAGACGGATAATGGGAAGCGGCAGAGAAAACGGAGGGGAAATCGGAAAGAGAGAACAAAACAAAAACTGAAAATAGACATTCAGCCTCCTCCTCCTCCTCCTTCCTCTTCTCCTACTCCTCCTCCATTACTTTTCCTTACAGATAACTCCTCCCTGTCGCAACACGAGGCGGGTCGAAAGTGCGGGCCAGGCGTTTCGCCTGAGACTTCCTCACCATTTACGATCCTGGCGTTACGAAATTGACAACGGCTTCACAAACGGAGGCGGGCTGTTCTTTTAAAGTGGCTCTCGCCTCAGCGTCGCGCACATGCGTTTTGAGAATTTGCAGAAGCTTCACGGATTGAGGGCGGGTGGTTTTCATAATGTGGCTCTCGCCTGAGATTCGCGCACATTCGTTTGGCAGATTTGCAAGAGCTTCACGGGTTGTAGGATGGTCGTTTCCAAAATGTGGCTCTCGCCTTAGCGTCGCACACATTCGCTCGAAACATTTGCATGAACTTCACGAATCGAGGGCGGGTCGTTTTCAAAATGTGGCTCTCGCCGTAGCGCCGCGCACATTCGTTTTTCCAAAATGGACGAGCTGCACGGATTGAGGGCGGGTCGTTTTCAACATGTGGCTCTCGCCTTAGCGCCGCGCACATTCGTTTCAAACATTCGCAAGACCTTCACGGAGTGAGAGCGGGTTAATTTCAGAATGTGGCTCTCGCGTAGCGCCGCGCACATTCGTTCTAAACATCTGCAAGAGCTTCTCGGATTCAGGGCCGCTCCTTTTCTAAATGTGATTCTCGCCTAAGCGCTGCGTACATTCTTTCTCCACAGCTGTAAGAATTCAACGGATGATGATGGTTAACGTTCCACAAATGCTGTTTTGGAGCGATTCAGGACAGTCCGGGCGCAACAATTACGTCGATTCGCGGTTCTCAAATCTCAGGAATGGTATTCTGGCAAGACTCAGGATCGCCAAAACGGAACAGTCAGGTTAACCCGTGGTGCTGAAGTCCTGAGAATGGTGTTTTGGCACGCTTCGACATGTTCACACGGTTGTCCCCAGACGGGGCAATCCATTCAGCGTAAATGATCCCTTGTAGGGGCCTGTGAATAGGAATCTTGGAGGGGGGGTGTCTTTCAACATCGTTCATGAGTCTTGGGTTTACACTGGTCCTCCTCCTCCTCCTCCCCCTCCTCCTTCTCCTCTGTCTCCACTTCGAATGTACGGGTGCCCCCCTTCCCGACTGCAGAGCAAACGACGAGACAAATCCTGCAACTGCCATTTGGGGATCAGGGTCCTCTAGGACACCCCAGTCGGCGGGTAGGATGTCAGATGTAGCGCGAGCGCGCCTGGCTCGTCATCCCCCTCTCTCCCTCCCCCCCATCGCCCCTTCCCTCTTCCCTTGTCCGCCTTTTTTCCTTCTGGTTTCCCTCCATCCCCAAAACTGAGCTGTTTTTTCCCTTGTGCCTCCGCCATGCATGTCTCCCCGCACGCGCACGTTCCAGGCTGCTCGGAAACGAAGCGAAACGAGTCGGATGGAGGTGCAGGAGGTGGAGGAGGAGCAGGAGGGTCCGGGGAAAGCGGAGGGGAACGGAGAGGACCAGCAACGACAAAGAAATAATCGGATCCAGAAATGTGGCACCCGCGCTGGGGCAACAGCGCCGTTCCGAGCGGCAAAAATATAACACCGTTCCTGAATTGTGGCCAACGCAAGAGGAGGAGCACCGTTTCTGAAGGACCGAGCCGAAAACATTCCAATCGAGAGTATGAAAAAGCAATGCGTGAAATCCTGCGTGTGGAAGACATACGCGGGAGATGCGGCGGCAAAGTAATACATAATCAGGATCAGGATGGAGAGGAGAGTAGTACGCATATTGTTTTTTTGTGGAGAGGAGACATCGCACACGCCTGACCATTGTCTAACTCGTGACGGGGAGTCGGAGGCAACCCTGCCGCCTGAACGTCATCGCCCTTGCCTCCCGAGTGAGACATGCAGGGAACCAAATGGCGACTGATACGAGTTGCCCTCAAAACATATCGGGCCGCAGTTGCATACATTGTGTCGTAACCCATACCGTCTGGCCTACACGGCCAGCGCTGCTAACCCAACGCCATATCATGGGAAAGCTGAGGGAAAGAGAAGAGGGGGAGGAAAACATCTGAAAACTTCAAGACACCTGGACCAGCACTCAGGCCAACCTGCCATAGGCGAGCCGTTGCGCGCATCCGGAGTCTTGTGATACTGACAATGCATACTGATAGGACTGAACCCACGCTCCGTGAGTGACCACGTAAACTTAAACGCCCGTCCGATACTAAAGGAGGCATATGGCATCTGCAGCCGAGGCGATCCCACCGCCAAGGCAAAGGGCACACGCCCGCGAGAATCGTGCACCTGGACGCGGCACGATAAGGTAAAGCATCGAGGAAGAAACCTACGCTGAATAGCAGCCAAACTACACCTCCTCCAGCCACTCCCAAGGCATGCGGCCACCTCGCGACCACCGGCAAAGGCCAATTGGAGGGAGGGGGGGGGGAGCTGCAAGGGGAGGCAGAGATCAGACCCGCCCCAGCACGGCAAGCCAGCGCTCCGCCTCAGGGAGGAAACAGAGGGAGGACAGAGAGGAGAGGGGGAAGCCACGGAGCCTTGAACTGCAGCCTGCTGAATCGCAAGTCGCGCGACCCACATCACCTCCAACAGCGGTTCGATGGGGCGTAAAACTGCCCCCCGAATTCCAGCCACATGCGAGCCAACGAGTCCTGAGGACCAGCGGAAACGTATCAAGGCCCTGGGCTCGGGGTGCGGGAAGCCCCACTGTGGCACTCGGATCGGCCACGCTGCCGGAACAGCAGTGGAGGAAGAGGAATATCCATACCACGAACAACATTATTTGCAGCAGCGCCTGGGCATTCAAAGAGGGAAAACAGCGGCCGCGTCCGAAAACAAAAACAAACGATGACGCCGTACAGACATACAGGAGCAAAGCAGGAAGAACAAGAAAAGGTATGCTGACAGCGACACGGTGAACCATGTTCCCCACCAGTGCGGGCGACACCGCCGCGCTGGTCCAGCCACACACACCCGGCAACGCAGTAGGGTTGCCCGGCGAGCGTGGCCAGACTTCTGGCCCAAAACCTGCATGATACCCTGTCGTTTCACACGCTTGCTATGCCACATGGTGGGATGGATGCTGGTCTAGAGATTGTAGGTGAGGAATATATCGCCGTCTGAATGCGTTCGCTTGTTTCTCATCAGGGTCGCACGTCGGGGTGCAAACAAGCAAGGCCACGAAACAAGAACCAAGGCCCTGACAAAACAGCAAAGGCCCTGGACTCGGGCAAGAGATAATTACACAGTTATGACTCCAGTAGCATCGGGGGCACGAGGCCTCTTCACGGCAGTCTGAATGAGATGCTTGAGCTGCGGGCGGCCGAACGCGGCCGTGCGAACATAGCCGCGACATGCATCGGGCGCGTCGCCGCGCAATTGACCACGTCGCATTGCATCTTTGCTTCCGAAACAAGGCATACACCCCAACGACACGGAAGGCAATTGCAGCCGCCGTGGCCCCCCCCGTGCGAGGCGACACCGAGAAAATCTGCCAGGCGAAATTCAGGCGGTGG